TGTGCCTGTCGTGACTGTGCGCTGCCTGGCGCTTTGGGGGTGGGTAAAACGTCTGCCGTCCGGTAGTAGTAGATGTGGATTTTTACTTGTAGTATCTTTCCATTTATGAATATATGATTTTACCTTTTCCTTGTGTGTACTACTACTACTCCTACATTATTCCTTACAATGTATTACCTCCGTTCTGGTTTACTTGTCCCCCCTCTTATTTAGGGTCATATTTTGACTATAATATTAACTAATAAAATATAAGTTATATATAGCAAAAATAATAGTATTGAAAACTATGTTCAAAGACGAATCCAACGGTATCAGTTTTGGTGACATGCATTAACATTTTAATAGTTAAATTTATGGTCGAACTTTGGCACGAAACACGAAAAGGACCAATAAACCAGGACGGAGATAGTATATTTATTGTTATCGTTTTGAGCAAACCTTACCTTGTATATTAGGTATTGCTATATTTACCACGGCGGTTTAATGAATCTCCCAGAAAATTACGGTTTGGCACCGCAATATATCGTTCCTCGGTGTTGATTAGATGTCATGATTGCATAATTAAATTATTATCAAATCTTCTTGTTTTAAGCTTTCAAAAAAATCTTCTTTTTCTAAGAAACTTCATAGTATCGAAACCTCCTGTTCACCATGAAACACATTTAATTTCATAACCGCTTCCCTCAGCGAAAAACCGTAAACATACATTTAAAGGTGTAAACGAAGGTTACAACCTCATGTAGTCACTCGTATACTTATGGCATGTTGATTGTACTTGTTGCCTCTAGTTATTTTCTTGTTCCATTTTGTGTGCAACTATTGGTTTTTTGTAAACTAAGCGTAGCTCAGATGGTTAGGTTTCCTGTCAATCTTAAGGTGTTGTGGCGGCTCGGTATCTTGGAGGTGCTTATAGGGGTAGGGTGTGCATGTGTGCGTTCATAGGGATGAGTCTTTGTGCATGAATGTGAGCATCTGCAATTGTACTCTGTTAAAAAAATGTTGGTTTTGTTGTTCTATATTTTGAATGGAATGTGTACTTTAGCCCTCCTTTGGTTTGGAGGAATTTATAGGAATTTTAGAGGATAGGATTCTTATAGGATTTTTTCGTTTAGAGCCATTTGGTTCATAGGAATAGATTTCTATTCCTACATAGGATTGGTTCCTATCCTCCACATTTCATAGGAAAATAAAAATGAGCCTGGACTCAATAGAAAAATTCCTTTGGTGTCAACCAAATGACATCTTGTTTCCTATTCCTACTCATAGGATTTAAGATACATGCCATCTCATTTCCTACAAAATTCCTATTCTTATGATAATCCTATCCTATGAACCAAAAGAGGCCTTAATCTGAAACTCTACCACGGGCTAAGCATGTTTGTTCTAATATTAGTATTTCCTTGAATAGCATGAACTACAAGCTCCTTCTAGTTTTCCTCCACACTAGCGATGTTCAAAGTAAGCAAATATGTAAAAGTAAAAATGTGTAAATGTTAGGGAAAATGAATTTCCGCCATTTTAGTTAAACATGCATGTGCATTCGTAGTTACTACCATTTTCATATTCTTAATTAGGCTAATTACTTGGCATCTTAGCCTATAGACTTCAAAAACCATGAGCTTTTCAAATTTAGCTCTCGTTAGCTCCTTCTTCAAATCTCTAAAATTGTCTCTATGTAGTTATAGTAGTGTCATATATGATAAACAAGCAAGCAACAACTAGATATCAGATGAAAAATAGGGCATTGTTTGACTATTCTGCATAGCTGCACTTATTCACTTGGCTTCCACCCAAATGCTTTTGGTAAAATTGAGGAGTTTAATTTTGTTTTGCACCACAGTTGGTACCACCGTAATTGCTCATCTAATTTAATAAATGTGAAGGAAGGACGTGACAGGACCTAACTGAACTGACGTCTCTCCGTATCTTCCATTTTACCCCTCCCTTCGTCTCTTCGTCGACAATGTGCACAAAGCAGCGGCCGGCAAGGAAGGAACAAGGGCGGGACCGGACCGGACTGAACCAACGCGCATGCACGCGGTTTCTTTGTTGCGCGGTGGACAAATCCAAGACACTGACACGGAAGCAGAAGGCTTGCGATAAGGGAGGGAGGAAAATCCAAAGCTTTGTCGCCGAAGAGATAGAGGAAGGGGTCAAATGGAAGCGAGAAGGGAGTAGGGGACGGATGGGGATGCGAGAACGGAGGGGGAGAGGTAGAGTTGTGGGCGTGTGCGCGGGGTGGGGGTGGGGGATGGGTTCTTGGGTTGTCCGGTTTGGTTGTTGGCGCTGCTGCTACTATTGTGCTTGTCGTGACTGTGTTGCCTAGCTCTTTGGGGATTTTACGTGTATCTTTCCATTTGTTTATGAATGTATGATTTTACTCTTTCCTTGTGTGTACTACTCCTACATTATTCTTTACCGTGTACTATAATTATTGTTATTTTTTTGAACAAACCTTACTTTGTACATTATTGCTATATTTACCATGGCGGTTAAACGAATCTCTTAGAAAATTACGGGTTGGCATGGTAATATATCATTCTCGCTGTTGATTAGATATCATGATTTCATAATTAAATTAATAGCAAAGCTTCTTTTTTGAGAAAATGCATATCAAAACTTTCAGTTTACCTCAAAACATATTTAATTTCATAATTGCTTTCGTCAACGAAAAACAATAAACATATATATAAAGGTGTAAACGAACGTTACAACCTCACGTAGTCACTCGTATACTCATAGCCTATTAATTATACTTATTTTCTCTAGTTATTTTCTTTTTTCACTTTGTGTGCAATTGTTGGTTTTTTGCAAACTGAGCGTACCTCAGATGGTTAGGTTCCTTGTGGTGGAACCTGCCCATCAGGGGTCAAGTTCTAGACTTGGTACCGATGCTCACATTTTCCTATATTTACTTCTGACATTTCGACGATGTTCATTCAGTGAAAGGAGATGTTCCCGTCGACTACGAGGTATCTGTAGTGAGTTCGTCAATCTCAAGTAGTGCCGGCTTAATATTTCTTAGGTGCTCATAGAGGTATGGTGCGCGTGTGTACATTCATAGGGGCGAGTGTATGTGAGCATCTACGATTGTATTGTGTTCAATTTTTTGTTGGCTTTTGTGTTCTAAATTTTGAACCGAATGTGTGCTTTAATCTGAAACTATGCCATGGGTTAAACATGTTTGTTCTAATATTAGTATTCTCTTGGAAAGCATGAACTACAAGTTCCTTCTAGTTTTCTTCCACATCAACATTATTCAAGGTAAGCAAATATGTTTTAAAAAATTGTGTAAATGTTAGGGAAAATGAATTTGTGCTATTTAGTCAAATATGGATGTGCATTCATAGTTACTACTATTTCATATTCTTAACTAGTCTAATTACTTGGTATCTTAGCCTATGAGACTTCAAAAGCCATGAGCCTTTCAAATTTGGCTCTGTTAGCTCCTTCTCCAAACCTCTAAAATTATCTCTCCGATGGTAAAGAAACAAGAAACAACTAGATGTTTGTTGAAATATAGGGCACCGTTTGACTATTCTGCATAGCTGCATTTATTCAATTGGCTTCTACACAAATGCTTTTGGTTAAATTGAGGAGTTTAATTTTGTTTTGCACCACAGTCGATACCATCGTAATTACTCATCTCATTTAATAATGTGAAATGTGATATTTATCTTTCCACTAGATGCTCAATCAGAATATGCCGACTAATGAAATAACTAAATGCATCAATATTGCAATAGTTCCATTGGTTGCCCTATTTTAAGAGATACTATGGTGAAAATTGTTTTCCAGTTTAACTGGTCTAACGCAGGCGAGTATGTTTAGGATAATAGAGGGAACTTTTAGAAGACAGGGAAAGTATAAAATTGAATAATCAGGAAAAGATTCAGATAAGTTGGTTTAAATGGAAAAAGAAGAAACATTTTATGAAAAGGTAATTTGGTAGGAACATAAATATTTGAAGTGTTTTCAATAAAGATCGTGTGACATCCTGGCTT